GGGACTTGTATTTGATCTACAGATGAATGATGGAATAGCGTAATTTACTTCTGTACGTCAATTCGGTCTCACTGTATTTCAGTGGGCGGCTTTTAAAAGTTAAAACTGAAAGCGTAGTACACACAAATAACGTAACACTGTGTCGTATTTACTTAACGTAGGACAGTTGCGCTATATCCTAGGGGAGGGCATAATTATTCATTAATAGGCATTATAGACCAGAGGATATTAAACTCAAAATTACGAGCATGGTAGATGAAGAAGATCTTTTGTCCCTCAACATCCTTGGAGAAATTCTTCACCCAAAATTCCAGCTCTTTTTGTCTGTTTATATTTCGGACGCAGCTTTCCGTTTTCACACATTGCTTAGCGAAATTATATTCCGTATGTTTCTTCTTTCACTTTTAGATAATTTTTATACGGCTATATTCCATAAACCAACAACTGCGTCGTCTGGTGTTGAGGTTCTTTCAAAGAAATTTTTTTTACGAAGTATTACGCCAAAATTTGATTTCCACACAATATTAAGATACGAAAAAACGTCGCGCGGTTATGACTCATTTACGACATCTTCAATTCGATTATTCTTTTTCATAAAATAAGAGCTATGTCACCTTCAAGTTAACGCTGTATGAATAAAAACGTATGTATAAATATTAACATTAAATTTAAAGTGTCGCAGACTTGTTTACATTTAATTTTAAACACATTTGTATGAGTTTCGGTAAATAACCGAGAATACGAAGTCAACTTCAGAAACCGATTGAGTAACAGGAAAAGTACACAACTTCAGATAGACAGAGTGGTTACTTCCCTTTTCATTTTTCTTAATCATGGTTTTGTTTGAGAGGCTTACCAATAAATTACGAAGATGGTATTATGTGTACGAACTTCATACAGCTTTGTACATGATGGAACCTTGGGAGAAGAACTTGTGTAGTATCCTTTTGGGTTTGAAAATAGTAAATGAATATGTACTGTTTCAGTGGTTGTGCTTAGTCGTGCAAACTTATCGTAACACTAGAGTGGCCTGTACTGTTTTGGTAGTAGTACTATGATCACTTCGTTAACTTAAAAATTGTGTAATTTTGTGGTAGAATACTATTGTGTTTACTACGTTTGACTTTTATTACATGAAAGAAGACTTAGGCCATAGATAAAAGCCTTGATATTTTTTCTTTTACTTCAAAGAAAGAAACCATAAATATAGGACTATATTAATCTAATAATTACTAGTTTCGTTTGAGTTTACTTACTTATTAAGTATTAATTATTATTTTATTACAATTTACAGCTTTTACAGTAAGTAAGATTTGGTGCGACCATTACACAAGTTTGCTTTGAATGTTGTTGTCACAGAAAATATATAAATTATTGAATTATTTCCTAATTTTTGAACTGAATATAATAGCTTAGTTTAGCCCACCCATAAAAAGAGAAGATATTTTAAGTAGCTTGTAGTCTAGTCATTGTGTTAAATACTACTGAACAACAACAGATAGTTAGTATAGTCACTGTGTTAAATACTACTGAACAACAACAGATAGTAGTATAGTCACTGTGTTAAATACTACTGAACAACAACAGATAGTAGTATAGTCATTGTGTTAAATACTACTGAACAACAACAGATAGAAGTATGATTGGGAAATGTAAAAGTACAAAATAAAAAATGTTTTATTGTTGTTCTTGAATTTTGTGCAAAGCTACTAAAAGGTTATCTGTACTAGCTAATCCCTAATATTGAACAAATAGAGTAGAGGGAAGACAGCTAGTCAACACTGCTTCTTCTTCTTTGGCTTTTCCCTTTAGTAGAGATTGTCATCCTTCACACATGTTGCCTTCCTCCAATCATCTCTGTTCACTGCCAGGTCATCTGCAATTCCTTTTTCATTCATGTCTTTTTTTTTTAATCCCATCCTTCCAATGTATTACTGGCCTTCCTTGTGCTAGCTACTGGCAGCTCTAATGCTCTTCTTATTGCTTGTTCTTATTCTCTTCACATGACTTTATTACCTCAGCCTTATTAAAGCTAGTCAACACTATCCACTGCCAACTCATGGGCTATTCTAATCAAATAGTGGGTTTTGACTCTTATAATACATCCATGGCCCTAAAATGTAGAGCTTGATTTATTTTTTTATCATAAAGAGGTGTGAACCACCGGGTCACATTTGGCCAAATTGGGTTATTTATTTCTACTTGGTTGCAAGATCATTTTTGTAAAAAACAGTATTGGTATAAATATAAATTGCGTATTACATATACTACAGTTGTTTCAGATGTATTTGTTATATTTATGTTGAATTTTTTTTTGGGGGGGGGACAAAGATTGTCATGGTAGAATTTTCTTACTTGTTAAACAAACTAAATAAGCATTTAATGAAATGTAAGAGTAACATTTTATAGTCAGAATATTCAGTCCTTTTCAAAATGACTGCCATGTGGTCACCTATGTTACATTATGATTCATCAGGTTATCCGCAAACAAGGATTTCTGCGATTAGTTAAAAATTTTAATCTTCATTGAAGGAGCTTAATAGGAGACTGGATATTTTAATTCTCAGAATTGGTTATTTGCTCTGAAGAAGGGCAATTACCCAAAATGTTTTCTAGTGAAACCCTTTCTTTATCTAGTGATAAAACATCTGAAATGCAAGCAATGTTTTATTCTTTAAAATCTTAACAATGGCCTTAAAAACTTACATTACAACCTCTAGAAGAAAGTTGGAGAGTATGTGTGTAAAATGTTTACCAATAGGATTACAAAACAATGTAATTAAAGATGAAAAAAAAAAATTTAAATGTATTTCTGAAGTAAAAAACACTGCTATGTGACATATGTTCATAAAAAAAAGAAAAACCTCTTTTTAAGATGTTACATTGAGGGGTAACTTTTAAAAATATAAACGTATATATAATATTGTCCTCACAGCTTTAACTCGGGTTATGTAGATCATTCACCACCATCTATTTAACTGGTTTCAAAATATCTCTTCCTAAATAGCAGCAATGTTGTTTTGGGACTTCTGAATAGACTGTGGGCAAGTGCCCGGAGATTTTTGAGAATTGCTAACATTACTTCTATTTTTAAAGGGGTGATAAGAGTTGTCCCAAAAGTTATGGTTTTATTTCTACAAGACATAAATGAAAATTCTAGTCTGACAAAAATGCTTTACAAAATAATTTATTAAAATATCATGAAAGGCCAGTATGGGTTCACCAAAGAGATATCTTGCCTTGTTAATGTTATTTCTTGTTTTTCAAGAATGTTGTGTGTCACCTAAATGATGGAAAGGGTGTGCACTTGAAGTTTTCAAAAGGCTTCTGATAAGATGCCACATGAAATTTTAATTTAAAAAATCACATTGGTTGTGGGAAAGCTAGTTAATTTGGTTATAGGATGGTAGAAAACAAGACATTGTTAACGCAGTCCAGTCAAATTGGAATATTGTGTATAGTTTTAATCTTCTCTTTATTTATGAAAGGATATTGAATTGGATTTAGAAGAGGACTACTAGGACGATTCCAGGAACAGAAGAATTATCGTATAGGGATAGGTTAAGATATTTCAACTTATTTCTTATCGAGAAAGAGATGGCAAATGGTGATCTTATTAAATTTGTCTAAATATCCCAGGTATTGATGTGATAAATGGCTTGGTGCTTTATTTTGAAGATAATAGGACAAAATGTAAGATTTGAAAAAAAAGAGGCTAGAGTCCTAATTAGAGAATTTTATTTTTCTAACAAATTGATTGGCTTACTTTTTATACATAATTGTAATATACTGAAATTAGCTCTCTGATTTGTTTGATATTTTGAATGTATCTCACACCCTGCATGATCAAAGTAATGGTGCTTAACAGTATTGATCCTTAGCATGAAATCAGATTTTGTCGTGTTGTCAGTAATTTTTATGTCAACGTACACCACCTACATCTTCCTACCAAGGTATACAAGGAGTGTGTTAGCTTACTTTGGCTATTTGTGAATTTCATCTTATCATTGTATTGTCATCACAGCTGTATGTGTGTATACTGAAGAGGTTGAACCAGTTTAACTCGAGGAATACACCAGAAGAGAAAAGCCTCTTTCTTTTTTGTTCATTCACTGTATAGAATATTACTTTTGATAGCAAAATATGATTACAGATCTTTGACATTTTTTCAAGATTTGGTTATAATCAAGTGTGTGTTCAAATTATATACGTTTGAGAGCAGATTTGTAGGTTCTGTGATTATTTTCTGGTTCAATAATCCAAAATATTTACATTTTGATAGTAAAATGAATTGTCAGAAAACTACCTGTATTACAGTTGATTTCCTCAAATGAGGACTTCATATGTGTTTTGACTAATGTACTTTTGTGAATGCAGAGACGAAAAATACAAAATTTGTAAAATTAGCAAATAAATTTTAATGTAATAGTACAGTGTATCAATTATTGCTGCTTATTTCTAATGATAAAATTGGATAGACCTGTTTCTTTTGGCAAAGACATGGGAAGAGAGTATAGATAATTATGCTGCACTAAATAAATGTGATGATTTCTTTAATACAAGTTCAGAATCCAAAACGTTTTCAAGGAGACTATAATTCTTGGTATAACATGTGATTGATACAGTGTAGCATGTAAATAACATGCTAATGCAACACTTAATTTACCCAGCCTTAATTAAGTAGTGTATAATTGTTTTAGTGAAGAAACTAGTTAAGTATAAGACTTAGATAAATTTAACTTTCATGCTTATGGTTCTTATCTCTCCATAAACCAAGTGTCCTTATTTGCAGATTTTTGTAAAGAAATGCACTCATATGATGTTTTTGAAAATGGAATTGATTATATAATTTATGTTGTTAAAACGAAAAACTGAATTGGAAGATATTCATTAGTCAAAGGTTTCCATAACTCTCAGGAAAATATAAAAAGTTAAAATATGAGAGAACCTGTGACACACGTGTCAAAACATGGTAGTGTTAGTATGCAGTATTTGGTTATGCAAGTCCTGATAAATAACTATTACTTTTATCGAAGATAAAAATTTATTTAATTGTAAAACTGGTGTTTAGCTTGGCAGATTTAATTTGTGTTTCAAACAGCTTCATGTATTGATTATGCTGTTCTCCAGTACATATATTATATAAAACTTTTAATGTAATGTAAATATAAGTGTCTATGAATTACTGGACCAAATAAACTGGTGTTTTAATTTTTATCTTTCATCTATTCCATTTATGGTTTTGTTAAACATTAAAGTATATTCCATGCTTAAAATAAACAGTGTACTAAATTCAAAAGGTCTTACATTCTAAGAACAAATGCTACATTTATTTACAAGGAAGATTTATTCAAATGATAATGGTTGAATACAGAGAAATGGTATTACATTTTTCATTTGATTTATGTATTGAAGACTGGATTATGGTTGATGCAAGGAGAGCCAAATTGTATAATTTCAATCTACATTTTGCTTCATTTGGGATACAGTTGAAACACAAGTATGAATACCAGTTGATGTTGATTATTAATGCTAATTTTTCCTGGAATTATAAGGTAATTTTTATTTTGATAGTTTTTTTATATTACAGTTGTAAAATATCTGAAACAGAATACAATACAAACTAATATCGGAAAGTATTAAACTACACTGTGCTTTGAAACCTTTCTTGTCATAAAGTATAAAAAATGTGATGCTGATATCAGAATTGAAAGTAAATTAATTATTGTGTATACTTATTATCATTAAGTTGTTCTAATAGTGGCTTCACAAAATGTTTTACATTTTTTAAAGCTGACAATTATGCAAAAATAAAGTAGTTCTTGTCCTAAAATAAGTACCTTCTAAGACAATTGGCCCAACCAGATGATCATAGTAATGATATTTCAAGATCGTACACTTTAAAAGATGTACAGTATTTTCAGATTGTATAATGAACAGGTCTTATAAAAAGTCATAAGGAAGCCAAAATAAGGGGCCTTTCTTTTATGTTTAAAATTCTTCAAATTCATTGAAACCTAATAATTTGTAAACTGTGGGAAAAGGAACCTTCATTTATATTGATTAAACATAACTTAACCCATGTAAATATTACAACCTATCTACTTTAACTTCTATATTTAATGTTTTACACATGCATCTTCTCTCTCACTCACCATTTAAGGGGTCTAATGAGAGGATGTTAACAATTTGAATGATGGTTGTACTTTTATTTTTAAAATTCTGATCTTATACAATACTAGCAATAAGTTGAATTTCTTGAAGGAGTCCAGTGGCAAATTTCAAAGATGATCAGAGAAAAGTGTGATATAATACATTAGTTTCAGTGTTTGTGGTGTATATAGATAGTTTTAAAAAGTTCAGTTTATCTCAGTAAACTTTATTCACATTTCTTCATCTGAATCTGATTCTTCTTGGAGAGCATCCTGTAAAAAAAAAAAGTACATCCACAATTACTGTTAAATATATCAATACATCTGAGTAAAATATCAACCTTTTCACCACTAGAAAACAAAAAGCATAAACAAACGAGTCAAATATCTTAGGCTTGGGAAATAACTAAAAAAATATCTTTTCTGGACAATTCAGTTTTAAATCTAAAGTGTAAAAGATCAACATGTGGCAGTTACCACAGTTTTTGGTTTTAATTCTAATTATCATTACAGCAATAAAACAAAGTACTTCTAAGAACAGTTCACAAAGTTTTGCTTTACTTTCAGTCAGACAGCTTCTCACATTTTCATTATTTTTTCTTACATGCTACTCACCTTAGCATACTTCTCAGCTTCATCAAACAGATCTTTTGGTACAAATTTATGTATTCCTCCAGTTTCTAAAAATTAAAAATGTTTTCAACACTCACTACATTTCTTTTGTGTGTTACAACAGTTAATAAGGTGCATCAACCTTTCTAACCAGATTCAAAGTACTAACCAAAGCTGTCCTTTTTATTAACTAATATTATAAATCTAGTGCACTGTATTAATTGTTTGTTTCTTGAATTTCACAAAACTAATTCTGAAGTGATACACTAGAGGGAAGGCAGCTAGTTAATACCACCCACCACCAACTCTTGGGCTATGCTTTTCAGCAATGAATAGTGAGATTGACCAACATATTAAAATGCCCCCAAGGCTAAAAAAAGTAAGCATGGTCAGTTATGGAATTCAAGTCTGTGATCCACAGGTTGTGAATCAAGTGCTCCGAACACCAGGCTATGCCAGGCCTCCTGTATTAACTGAGCAAACAAAAATTAAATCAAAACCACATTAACTTTCAGAGTAAATATATTACTAGATGATTAGTATTTTTATATTGATGAAAAAAAGTATAAAATCTTCAAAATCAACAGAGAAAATCAGGATAAATCAGTTAATTAGTTTTCTTCAGAAATTACATAACAGTGCTATATTATGATTTGCATTTAGTAATGAAGTATAATAATTGAGGGGGTTATCAGTATTACTAAAAAAAATAGCTTTCCTAGAAGGCGACTCAAAAGTAATATAACTCTTGGACATGTATAGAAAAAAACATTTCCTGACAGTAATCTCTATCCTATAACACAAATGGAATGGGTCCATTCAGTGAGGTATGTTTCTTAGTAAAAACAGCTGCTGTAACCACTACTATACTAATGTAAAAAAATTAATTCATGAAGCATAACCAGTCTTAATACTTTTAAGCCACCCAGTATACTGAGTTTGTCTTTACATTTATCTGACATGGTCTCGTATATGAAAGCTTGGATTTCTGTTTTTAAAAACACACAATTTACAGCAGTCATGTTTATTATCATCTGTTTTAAAAGTAACTGAAAAACTTGGTGAAATTGAAATTCAGATACAAGTAAAATGCTTTTGGCTAATTAAATTTCTAGTACAAATGTTTAAAGATCATTGAAATAACAACAAAATTTTTAACTTAACAGTTGAACTTAAAACTCATGATTGTTTAGGCCAAACTGTTTTTTAGAAACAACTTACTAAATAGTACAAACTATAATTTTTGAAAAATACAAACTTGGATAAGTGACAGAACACTTAGTAACAGGGGTAATAAATAATAAGTCATGTATTACTTCAAGCACTTGTTATAGATATTAAAAATATTATTCCGTATGAACATGGTTAGTAATAAAGTTAAAACTGTAACCTAAAAATAGCTTACCTGTTCCAACCCAACTGAGTTCAAGTTCGAATGTTTTGTCTTTAATTTCGTCATGGATGACATATATACTGTATAAAAAACATCAGTACACAGTGCATTAATGCATACTTTCATAATTCAAACAGCCAGGAGTACGTACATTTACAATGTTCACTTAGTGAAATAACTGATATATTTACAGCTTTAGAATTATCCTAAAACAAATGTTATGTAATGGTTATGCAAATGAGTTACAAACATAATTGGGATTGTATGTCTTTATCAGCACCAGTTGTATTTTTAGCCATGGCTAAGTTGCTCATAGAATGGCTCCAAGTTTGTTTTTTCAAGTATAAACTTTTAGCTCGTAGCTCTGTCATCTCTTGACTGATCTAAGACCTAATTACAGTTTTGAACTCAAGAGGTCAAAACCTTTTGATTGATGTATTTGACTATGTCAAAGATCTCACTTAATTTATTCTAATCCTACCTAAAAGACTTCAATTTGAGGGTAGGCTGGTAGAGGTCCTAATGAGTAATAAAATCAAATTGGGTATACACGCGCCCTCTGCTTGGTATTGCTTGTGCACACAAATATAGCTAATAAAAAGGGAAACAAAGGTCTCATAGATTAATTTACTTTGATCCTGCCTAAAAGAATTTAAAGTGCCATAGCTATTGAGGATTCCCTCCATTTTTACTTCACTGCTTAGTACACAATACTCATTATAAAAAACAAAATTATAACTAGGAATAACCACCTTGTTGTATATAGAATATTTTGACTTATAAGCTGATATTAACTACAACTGATCTGCAGTATACAAACTGATTAGCTACAGAATATTTTCATATCACGATAAAAAATGCTGATAAATAAAGGTCACACTTAAATGAATAATATTTTAGTCACAAACAAGAAAAGTATCCACAAATACTTACATTTTTGCAGCTTCTTTTACAAGTTCTCTACACGTCATTTCTTTCACCTGTAATTAAAATTATAAGCTTGCTTTCTAACCATCATACTATATATAAACATTGTCTTTTTGTGCTTTAGTAGCTGTAACTATCAGACCCAGGTGTGTTTTGATACACATGTAACTTTTTCTATTATTATTATTGCATTGCAAAACAACAAAAAACTATTGGATGAAATAGTTTAAAACTTCAGAAGAAAATGGGTTATGTAACTTCTGCAAATAAAATATTTTTATGTTATATTTGTATGAATTTGCAGTTTTGAACTTTTGGTAAAATTTTCTACTGAAATTCTTAATTTTGTTGCAGATTATAATTATGATTTTATGTCCCCTACATTCTTGTAAACTTTTATCTGTGTTTTTGGTTAAAAACAACACTGCATATAGTTTCATCGTGTACATGATTCTTGATAAAAAATAACTTTTTACCAAACAAATTATAATCAAACTGACTTTTTTTTACATTGTTAATCAGAAGGTTTCATTCAATATATGTAATAAGCTTTAAATACCTTTTACATTTACATTTCAGTTATTTTCTCTGCCCATTCCTGTAGCTACTTACATTGCTAAGGCCTAACACAGCAGCTTTGTGAGCAAAATGAAACTTAATACAGACAAATGCAATATAAACTGCCTTGGCCTACATAATAATCTTCCTTTTTTGTCATATTATTATTCAAGTGAAACATAAAATGATAAAGCAAGCTTTAAAAAAATCAGGACTGTAATTGTATCAAAAATTGTTCGCAAACAACTTTTATCAACAAATCACCAACCTATGCTTTTATCACTTTGTTTCAACCTCTACATGAATCTCCTCTGAACTGCAAGCCACATTAGCTTATACAGCTGAAAAGAATAGGAAAGAGCATTCATTACATGTTTAGATCACTAGCTTATGCCTTCTTGAAGCTAAAATATCGGCAATTACAACACATCATGACAATCATAGTTGAGAAACAGTGATTGACTAAAAACTGATAGTTACACTTGTCTTAAAATGACAAGGATAAATTAGCACCATTTTGTTCAAAAGCATTTAGGGACCTTACAAACACTAGTGATTTTCTTTGAGCATGCTGAAATCAACCCAAAAGTTTTGGTTATTTGTTTATTTTTGTGTATAGAATAGTATATATTTTTTAAAGAATAAATTTAAACTCTGAAGTATTTTTTCTTTTAATGTGTGGAAAAATAACTATTAAGTTTAACTTTCTTTATCAATAGTGTAATTTCTCCTTTGAAGTAGAATGCACCCATCCAGGCATGACAGATTTAACCTATTACACCTTATCGGGTAGTCTCTTCCAATTTCCACACTTATGAAATTAAATAAATACTTTTATCTGTGGCTATTTTGTATACAGTGTGTAAAATATTCTAAAAAAAATGCATGAAATTTTGTGCAATGTTTAATATTTCAGCATTTTTAAATATAAGTAAAACTGGGTATTACACATTAGTTAGTAAAGTGGCATATTTATGGTACATCAATATATTTTGCTTTAGTGTTAATTCAGATCATGTTTCATATTACTTTCAGTTTGGATGGTATGTGAATGTTAGTTTGTTTTTCTTAAGTCTTGTTTATTAAGAAGGCTATTTAGTTTTATTATATTGCTGGAAGATTATACTAGATTAACACTTTGGTATACATGTTTATAAGTGGTTGAACATTTTATACCCATCTTAGGGAATATAACATTTACTGTGCTTATTTCACAGTATAACAGAAAGTGTTGTATATTTAAGTATTGTAGAAAAAATTCACTATTTAATAATATAACTGGACTGATAAATACAATTTACAAGTGAAAAAACTGGTCAGAGAGACTATTTCTGTAGCAAGAACATAACCCGAATAATAATAATAACATTACTTTACACATACTTCTTATTTTTGCTTTGAAATTAATTTCATTTCAACATGCAGTAACTAGAGAAAGATGAATTAAGTTGGTATGGTGAATAGATGCTTCATGGATTTGTTCATCATAAGTACGGTAGTACTTATAGTATGAATGGCCAAGATGTGCAATACAAATTAAAATCTGAAAGACATTGCAAACATTAAGTAAACAAAACTTTATAAGCACTTTATGCAACTGTTGAGTAGTAAACAAATCAAGTGCAGAGTAACAAGCCATCAAAGCACTTGAGAAAGTCAGTAGTATAAAAGCTATAATTTTCCTATACTGAAAATGTATTTAAAATACGTACTTACCTCCTCTCACATAAATAGCTAGTCTCGTTCAGTGCTGCCCTCTACATGCAAAAAATTGTTTCGCATGCCATAAGCCTTGAAGCTCTCACCCATCTTTGAATCGACTGATTCAAATGCGTCTTGCATGCAAATCATCATGCAACAACCCTCCACCAATAAGAGTGACACACACTCTCTTGACACATGTGACTCCATCTATTCAATTCTACTGGCAGAAAATGGAAGCAATGGTTTTCAGTGGGGAGGAAAGGTGGGAGGAGGCAAGTCCGTATCGGAAATACATTTTCAGCATAGGAAAATTATAACTTTTGATACGATACATTACCTCCTCTCACATAAATAGCTAGAATTCCACGTTAAAAAAGGTGGAGGAACCGGTGTGGGGGAAAGAAAAAAGCATCCTTTGAAAGTGTCTGGAGGACACCTCCAAATAGTAGATCCTTGTCGTAGAAGATCATAAGTGGGAGACCGTACCACTTCTGTACCAGGTATACTCTTCGCCCATTGTGGAAAGATGTCGCATCGATGGGCAGAAAGATGGAGGAGCACTTCAAAGTGGGAGAGAACTACGGCAGGATAGGGATCCAAACCATACAATATTTATTAAACTCAATCCCAGAAAATATAGAAGTGGGTAAGATGAAAAGATGTGACCCCAGGTGTAGAGTGGCTAGGGCACGCCGGATCACACACGCAAGTCAACCACATCCAAAACCCATGCCTCTGGGAACTGACATCCATGCATGGGTAGGACGATGATTATACCTTTGGTAAGTCAACTACAATCCAAAACCCAGCTACTGATATCCATGTGGGGGTAGGAAAGAAGATCATACCACCGGCAAGACGACTACAATCCAAAATCGAGGCCACCGGGAACCGAAATCCGTGTGGGGGTAGGAAAGAGGATCATACCGTCTTCACCCTATTTTGTAAAGCAGATCATACCAATTTATTGAATACAAGGCATGGCAGGGATGGGCAGCTATCCCCTTCTGCTTTACCCATGTAGTCCATGGGTGAGTTATGGTCTGAGATGGGCAAACTGATGAAGCCAACACATTGTGAGGATAAACCTACAAGCGATCTTGTGGAACACCCCATCTCAACAGTGTGGATTTTTGGCCATGGAAATCATAATATGTAAGTTGACATGGTCTTACAGTGTCAATTTGACTAGTTTAAGTATACGTGGATAGGCACCACTTGCAACAGAGTGGGATCCAGAAAGAAAACAAAGGACATATCACTGAAAAATAAGAGGTATATATACTAAATAGTAACTCACCTAGTCACAGTCTCATGAAAGAGTGAAGGATGGCAACAGGTGGATGACAGTACCCCAACAAGGAAGAAACAGCTACCCAAAGCAGAGAATGGGAGATGAACATACGAGATGTAGTCCCAATGCTCAACAGACGAAGTACCTCCAACAGATGACAAAGGAAAGATGCATGACCACAATGAATGTACTGTGAAATGTGTCTAAAAAACTGAGATAAGCCTAACAGATTCTGCAGTAGAGGCCTGGAAGGCAATCTATGATAAGGTGGAGGAAAACTGACAAAATCTAGGTTGTCTAAAAATGGGTTCAGCTGTTGTAGGAAGAAGGTAAGCAATATTGGGAGCAGGTAGGTAATGGTAAGAAGTATAAACTATAAAGAAAAACGAAAATGAAATAGTCAGTATAGTGGAAATGTGATAACATTGTGTAGTGAAATAAACGTATGTGGTGAAGATAGTTAACCTAATTATTGATTAACCTATAAATAGAACCATGCATAAATCGAAAATAACAGACACTTGTTAAGCCTAACAGAACAAGATATTTAAACTAATTATTGATTAACGTGGAAATAGAACTACAGGTAAACCAAAAATAACAAACACTTGTTAAGCCTAATCAAACAGTACATAACAGCACTACAATAAAAATGTTAACCTAACAATAAGTGTGTACAATATCGGGAGAAAAACAAAATAGTTAAACTAATGATTGATATATCAGTAACATGAATTACAGGTAATCCTAAAATAACTAAGACCATGGTAAGCCTAAGCAGGTAGTATTGGAGAAAAGATACAACAAAGACGAATTGCTAACCTGAGCTTGAATATGAGAATTGACAAATCTGACGAAATTTATGTTATGGAACCCAAATAGCTAAAAATAATAATATTGAAAATAAAATTATTCAAAAGCCGTAACAGTATAATGTCTTCTCTTTCCAAAATCGGGGAACTGTATGTTAAAATGTGTGGGCCCCTAAACTCGAGGAGAAGCCCAATGAAGTAAAGCCAAAAGTCTTCCTGTGGAGTACCACTACCTGAAGCTTGTGCAGATGTGCTGATAGAACACATAACCTCTGAATGGTTACGTAGAATTCATACTGTAAAATGTATAACCAAACATAACTGTGTTGGCAGAAATATATAAAAATTATTTGTAATGAAGTAATAAGTTCCATAACAGGGTAGAAATAAAAATAAATTCCACTTTAGAATAACTCAACAAGTTACAAATATCACTATTGTATAATAAAGAGCAAACTTGTTGAGAGAAATTAATATAAAGATACGGAAAAAAATAAACACTTGAGGAGAGCACAAACTAAACATTACAACACAAGTACTGCCAAATTAGAAATGATATTTCGGTAGAATTGAATTGAATCGTGCATTAAGAGAGTGTCACACTCTTATTAATGGAGGGTTGTCACATGATGATTTGCATGTGATACGCATTTGAATCATTCAATTCAAAGATGGGTGGGAGCTACAAGGCTTGTAGAATGCTAAAAACGTTTTGTATATAGAGGGCAGCACTTAAAAAGAATAGCTATGTGAGAGCAGGTAAGTACCGTATTGAAACAAAAATCTCATAAAACTACAAATTTGTCAATCTGACTGATTATCACTGTCAAAAAGACATAGCTCTCTCATGCAAGTCTAAATGCATATGACTGAATTACGCTACCTTCGCTTAAAGCACTTTTCTAATAACAATGACCATTCTGAAACACTACTAATGGGCTAACAATACACTAGTAATAACATTTTATTATTATGAGCATGCTGTGTGAGTTGCCAAGTAACAACCCACCCTCATATCACATACGGATGCATGACTGCTTATTGTACCATTCTACGTGATCAGCTAGACAAAAAAACGTGGACTATGTAGATTCTCTAGATCTAGATACTAACTAAAATCTGTTGTTGATAATCAGGAAAAGCCATCATCCCAGTGAAGAGAGCATTACAGCAAGAATAGAAATAAGGTTAGAAACAGCAATGCTGAATAAGTGGAACAAGCCTTATTCATTGATGCAGCCAAGATATCAGCAAAAGCCAGAAAATGTCACAAGATAGCTCTAAGAAAAGTTATGAGAAGGATAAGCCTGGAGCCCAGTCACTCTTGAGACTTACTAGCAAAAAAAAGCTGAAACAAGTATAAAAAATTTGTAAATAAAAAAATTAAGAAGTTGGAATGCAAGCACCAAAAACTGAGAAAACAAGGTAGGAATGGGTTGGATAACATTACAACACTTGGTGGTTTTTAAGAAGGTGCAACCTCAAAGTAATTGTGACCATCATTCCACCCATTCCTACTTCATGTTTTACTTTGAACTTTGATCCAGTTATAGAATTGAATTGAGATTTATCAGAAGCTAATTTCTAAATACTCAATAACTTTAAAAATTTAAAGAATCAGTAGTTTTGATAATATTCTTTTGGCCCACTTCTTACAAGTCAGATAGCTATAATGTCTCCCATAAACAAAGGATGACTATTGGAGCTGCATGTCTCACTTCCGACATCAAATACCCCCCCTTATGATGTCATGCATTTCGTTAAGAGTCATGTAATTTGATTGCATACATGATGTGTACTTGGTTGCTGAAACAATGTTTACAACAGAGAAATTTATCTATATACACCTTTCATTTAGTTTGAATAACTACCGCATCATAAAAAGCACATGAAGTAGGATTGGAACGATGGCCACACTCACTTTGAGGTTGCACCATGTCAAAAACTATCAAATGTTGTAATGTTATCCCATCCATTCCTACCTTGTTTCCTTACTTACTGGTGGTCCCATTGCTACTTCCTAATTTTCTTACTTAAAATTTTTTTACACGTGTATAATAGTTATCTAGTAGTATGTTTCATACCTTCAACTTCTCCATTTCTGTCTTAGCAGCTTGCTTGGCCTTCCCAATGGCACAACCATAATATCCCTGCAACGAAAACAAAGAAAGCTTTTCTACAGTTCTTAATTTTCTTGTATATAGTCAGGTTTATAATCATTTCAATAATTTACCTCTAAAAAATAAATATAAAACATTTTATGTACCCCTCAATTGAGCTTTTAGAATTAAAGAATATGCTCAATTTAAAAAAAAAAGAAAGAAAAGAGCAAAACAAGCTTAAATTAATGAAACCAAAATATGTTCACATGGTTCTAAGAGAATCATAATCAGTGCATGTAACACACATATACACATACATACATATCAAGAAACTCTCTCTGTGTGTGATATCTGCCATAAAAGAAAATATACAAGTTGATTTCAGGTATAGGTATAAAATATTATGCACTTCCAAATCTATATAAATCATAAGTTTGTGTTTATCTGTTCAAAACTTTTCTTGCAAATTTCTCAATTAAATCCTACAAATCTTGTATCCTTAAAAAGACCTTTGTCTGAGGAGTCCGGAAGGCATATTGGCTTTTCCATTCAGAATCACCTTACCTGTTTTTTT